GACCAAGAAATTATTATTATTATTATTATTATTATTATTATTATTATTATTATTATTATTATTATTATTATTATTATTATTATTATTATTATTATTATTATTATTATTATTATTATTATTATTATTATTATAAGATTACTAGAATTGTTATTATTATTGGTGAAATAAAAAAATCATATATATTATAAAAAATGTAATTAAGAAATTGCTTTATTTGGAAAGTGTAAAAAACAATTTTTTACTGTAAATGAAACTTTCATTTAATTTCCTGTAACAATGTAGAATGCCTTATTTATTCCCTGTAACCTGTACCAGGTATCTCCACTTGCCCCCCCTCATCATTTATATCAATGTACAATATAATACAATACAATACATTAGAATACTATACAACACATTACAAAGCCATACAATATATTCATAAAACACAATTCTAAAACTATGCCGTAGTATTAAATAAACACAATATCCCACGTATTGAAATCCCGGTCTATATATATGTTACATATCAAATTATTGCAACAAACTCGATTTCAACCATCATATCATGCAATGCAACACGTGTATCGTGCTTCATTTCCCCGTCACAAGTGTCATTGCGATTCTCCGGCTCCCAATAGGTCAACCAAGTGCCAAAAACTAGGTATGATATGATATGATTTTGAAATAAACACCAGAGTTTGCTGCTACCTGTTGCATTCACACCCATTAATGTTGCTTTTCTTATTTGTATGATTTGAAAAAAAAAACTCTCACTGACAACACTAATCATCATAAAGACTTAGATTTTGTACAGTTTATGGGGAATCATATCCGATAAGAGGCTGTGACGAATCTACTGAAATAAAATAAAAGTGCCCTTGAGTAGTTACAACCATCCCAATTTTATGTACGATTTGGTGATTAGATGCTACAACCTCCACTGCAATGCTCCCATATTTCAGGATTTGTTTCCAACTGGACTGAATCTATAATTTGCCATGGGGATTTACAATAATCAGCGTGGAGTGTCTTAAAAAACAGTTTCTTACAATAAATACACAGTAAGGTGATTTTATATATGTGTATCATATAGATTCCTTTTATATAAATTGAAAAAATGAGAAATTACATTTGAATTTGAGATATTTTTTTGAATACCAGTAATCATCCAATAGCAGAGAATTATACAAATTGTCAGTGATTTCAATAAAAAATTATAATATTTGTCTTAGCATTGTTCTGTTCATATATATCAAGCCGTAAATAATTATAATGTATGTCTTCATTTAAAAAAAAAACCCGCAAAAGTGTACATTATGCAATCTAGACGTCTTCCAAGAAATGATATAAAACACACACACGCATAGCAGCAATTTGACTACATTGTATTTTGATGATGGAACGTTCGCAATATTGTCGTTACATTGATAAACACCAAGACACGTCGTGATAGGTAGTCAGGGTTCCTCAATGGAAACACCAGTCTGTGATACAACTGATACAGCTATAGAATGTCCATCACCGTTTGACACTTCTAATAAAAGGACAGACAGTTAAGCATTAACAAATGCTACGTTTATGTAAGTCGTTGCCATTTTTTCGAAAATGTTTACGATTTGTAATTTCAATTAAAAATGTTGTTAATATTTGTATTATATGTTAATGACATTTTAACAATTCAATAATAATGTCGAATAGTTTCAGACACTGAATTAGTGAGTGTCATTTCTCAGACGTTTAATGAGCAGTGCGTTGAAAGAGTACAATAATATATGTTGGTATATATGATACTATATATGGATTGTATTTACGACTCAGAATAAAGATTATGTTTTATTAAAACCCTAATCAATCAATCAATCAATCAATCCATACATATGATAATCGACATTCAAGCTAGTTATTATATAATTAAAGAGTTTCTACCACCAGTGTCTTCTGGGATAGTTGGCTTTGCTGTAGATTTCATCTCTGTATTTACGTCTGTTTTAATAAAATGAATAAAAACGCACTAGTAACTCAATGAATATGCTAATGCATGAAACATCGCCTGTAGTATGTATCTTGGTTGCGAGTTATACAGTTCACAAATCGAAAATAATTACAGATAACACAATGACTGAATTAGTGAGTGTAATTTCTCTGAATTTAATAAGTAGTGTGTTTTTGGTATACTAGTACATGATACTATGGATGGATTGTATTTAAGACTCAAAATATAGACTGTGTTTTATATAACATATTCTATACATGTTGTAACAATCAACATTGAAAATAGTTTTGATATAATTAAAGAGTTCTTACCACCAGTGTCTTCTGGGCTATTGGGCTTTGCTGTAGACCCCGTCTCTTTATTCACGTCTGTTTTGTTTAAAAAAAAAGATGGATAACATTCGTAATAGTAGCTCATTGAATATGGTAATGCATGACACATCGTGTGTATCTTGGTTGCGAGTTATACAGTTCGAAAATAATTACAGACAACACAATGACGTACTTTTTGTTTTGTTTTGTGACATTCTCACAACAATTTGAAAACAATTGCAGGTCTATTTGGAATGAAAACCGATTGGGTAAAACGCCATTTACAAACTCGCATATACTAATACTTCAAGTTCCTATGCATTGAACCAAACAGATGATGGGTATGGTCATTTTATCATAGACCTCATGGTATATGATTTTATCCAACATTTGACATAAGGCAGCAGAATACGTAAATAGGTCAGCAGCCTGGGAAAGTGAGCCCTAATTCGCTGATATAGCTTTGTTCTGGTTGATTATTTATCTTTGGGTGTGTATAATGAGATCTACGGTGGGATGGACTGGTCACCCTTGAACGATTTTAAATAAACATATGGGCCAAAATAAATTGATAGTAATAAATAAACTAAATTAACAATAAATAAACTGTGGAACAGTTCTCATTGTTACAACCACATATTTATGTCTTGAAGCGATCTCACCACTGTAAGAATACCATAGCAACAGCAAATTTACAGTCATTCATACTTTTTATGTGGTATTGTAGTCAATTGCATATGACTAAGAATGTTCTATTTATATTATATTGCCCGCTATAGCAGTTTTGTATTTTTATCAGCTTAATGTTGAGCTAAGTTGCGTATTGGATAACAGGGGGTAATTGGTTGTCGGCCCAAATAACACTGATTTAAATAAATTAAAATAAGACTTACCCGTTGAACTATCCGTAACTCGGGCTCTATTGTGCCACTGTTTATACCTTTGAAATGTACATAATATTCAGATGATTTATATAGGTGTTATATTTCAAACACAATTCATTAAGGTTGTTAGAAAGTTACAAAACATGCACATTTGTACGATTCTAAGCTTCAAAAAGTCGTATGCATTGAGATTTCTACATGATGAAAGTGATTATTAAATGTGGATTATATACGATGATTGTCATGCTACATTGTCCGTATTCGAACGTTAATTGTTAAGCAACAAGGAGGTATTTTTATTGGTGTTTGAAGAAAGTGAAGAATTTGCAATTGAATTTCACATGAACTTTGCGTAGCGCTAAAAAGCCTTCGGAAAACGTACATATTCTGATTTCAACATGAATAAAATATTGTGACTTCATTGTATCATTTTGAGTAAAAAAAATGTATATAATATTTTTTTTTCTCAGAGAAATGATTTGTGAACCTACCAGTTATAAATCTTTTTTCTTTTCCAAATGCAGATTATAACAATAATGATTATTATTATTATAATAAGGATAATAATAATGATACACCACACACATATGCAGTCTATAAAAAATAAAATGTATGTACTAAAATAAAATTTAAATATGAAGTATGTTGTAATAACATACGCTGAGGCATCAGCTGTTCATGGTGATTGTGACTAATCAAGTTCATTTCAGACAAAGCATTTCTTAAGTGATTTGAATAAACATCTATATACCAAAACCTCAATATTAATTCGCTGAAATTATCCCGCAATGATTTACAATAAATATACAGCTTATATCACTTTGGTAGCAGCTGGTCAACTGTTACGCAAGAGATTTAACATGTTTTTTGTTTGTATCAATTCAGTCTATGATAAAAAGTAAATCAAGAAACAAGTTGTATTTTCACACTCATCATTCATAACAGCCATGTCTGGCATAATACAATCACTTCCCCTGACAGACAGGCCAACTAAACAAATTGCCTTTGAGCGGACAGGAAAGCAGCTTTTTCAAATGTTTTGTCATCTGAGCACAACAAATCCACCAATAATGGCCTGGAGGCCTTCAAAAAGGTCACCCCAAGTCGACATCCAGAGACGCTACAGATCGGGAAGGAATTTACAAACAAAAAGTTTCAAGATATGCTGAGAGCAATAACACTTTAACGTCTATGTTGAGAATTGATGGCACGGATTATTTAAGTATTTCACAACACGAATTATTTGCAGTTGAATAGACATCATTGGGCTCTTGGTGCCGAACTAAAACGGCATCACAATGAA